GGGGGGGGGCGGGACCCCGGCCCAGCCCCGGGCGTAGGATCGATCCGTCTCACTCCCTCCTCTCCCCCATGTTCAAGGCTCCTTTGGAGGCTGTGGAAGACACGGAGATGCTGGTCAGGATCCCACCGGGGGGAACACGCGGGCCCAGAGCAGCAGGCGGAGGTGGAAAAGCAGGAGGAGAGGGGATTTTAGGGGCAATCTGGCTATGGAGGAGCAAGAGGGAAAGTGCCTGTTCTACCCAAGCCAAGGGAAGAAAGGGGCAGTGGGGTGTGAGCAGGAGCAGAGCGTTTGGGTGGCCACAACACCCCATGGAACGTGCCCATGTCCTGGCCCGGTGGCCAAGGCGCCGGTACGTACGGAGAGGCTGAGCTGTGGGGCCACCTCGGCCGTCAGGCGGGCTCTGCTGGCCACCAGCACACGCAGGACTGGCCCCCGGCGCACAGAGGGGAGAGAGACAGAGTTACAGAGCTGGGGTTGGAAGGGGAGAGAGGGAGAACCCCCTGCTCGGCTCCTGCTGGGGGAAAGTAACTCGGGAATTTAGAAGGATGTGATGATTTTGTGTGAGATTTCCCTGCAGGCAGGGACACACCTGGTGCCGTGGCCAGCACAGAGCCAGGGAGTTCATCACTGTGAGGGTGGGGAGAGCCTGGCCCAGGCTGCCCAGGGAAGCTGTGGCTGCCCCATCCCTGGCAGTGTTGAAGGGCAGGTTGGATGGGGCTTGGAGCAGCCTGGGCTGGTGGGAGGTGTCCCTGCTCACATGGATTTAGACCATCCTTAAGGTCCCTTCCAAACCATTCCATGATTCTATAACCCTGGAATATCCAGGCCTTGAAGAAGATAATTAACCAAGAGGTTTTAAGGGTGTCTCCTGGAAATCACCAACTTGGCAGAGAAGACTTGAGGTCCGTATGGATGATCTGACCTAAGGTCAGAGGTGATAAAGAAGAACCAAACTCAAGAAGATTGACAGCAAAAGCAGTGTGGGGCAGTTGGAGCCATAGAACTTGGGATACTGTGACTTCCAGGTGAACTTAGCTCATTATAATGTCATTATAATACTAAAAAATCACACCCTAGGTCAAAAAGACCCCTGCCCAGGTGAAGACCCTTCCCCTGAGCATTCGTGCTGGTGGTTAAAAGGAGAGCTGGCCAGGGGGGGCCCAGCTGTGCTCCAGGGAACACCACCCACCCCAGCACAGCAGGGACCCACGTTACCTTCTCGGGTGACAGTAGAAGCCGCGTCCAGGGCTTTGGTGCTGATGTTGCCCAGCGTTTTGTCCACACACTTGTGGTGCTTGAGGAAGTAGGGCCTGATGACAGTGTGGTAGAGGACATGAGACCCGTTCCAGGAGATGGGGGCCATGCACCACAGCAGGAACAGGCACTGCCAGGAGGAGAGGTGCTCAGGGCTGGACAGTAGCAGGGCAGGGGCTGAGCGAGGCCACCCCTGATCCCCTCCAGCCCAAAGGCACCTTCCCAAGGCTGGAGGTGCCAGGACTGCAGGGAACTCTGCACTAGACTGCAGCCCCACCACCACCCTTGCAGAGCCCACCACGCTTGGTTCCTCCAGATTCAACCATCAGGCAAGACCCCGTGCCCAGCACCCCCACACGAAGCCGTTACCTTCCCAGTGTAGTAGAATGGGAACCAGTAGAGGAAGAGGTCAGAGAAGGACTCGGCTATGCTGAAGACGCCGTACACCACCCAGTACGTTAGCCACGTGGTGTCATCATCCTTGCTGGAGCTCTCGATGGCTTTGATGCTGTGGCAGGAGAGGGGAAGGTGCTGCTGCCACGGTCCTGCTGCCTGGCTGGGCACCTCCTTCCCAGGTCCTCCAAACCCCAGAGCAAACCTGCCTAACAGGAGCTGCTGCCCCCAGCTGGGACCGTGCCAGCTCTTAGGATTTTTGGGAAGGTCTCAAGAGCTTCCTGGCCCGACCATTGAGCAGGGAGACCCTCAGCTAGGGGCAGGGAATGCTCTGCAGGGGCTGGGATGTGGGTACTCACGAGACGTATGCGGGGTAGGCGAAGCCAATGATGTTGCAGATCAGGGAGGCGCCGTAGCCGAACGCCAGGTAGAGCCCCAGGAGAGC